AATAAAATCCAGTACATTAAAGTAGATAATAGTAAAATAATACAAGATCAGAAAACACGAAAAATCCTCAATTAGCCACAGACAAAAAGGCAGTGAAGCAAGGAACAGGCACTAAACAAGAAATGGGTGGTTGGCAGGTTGCATGGTATACAGGGTGGTTGCAGTGGAAGTGTTGTTTAACTGTGGTTTCATAGTTCGAATGTGGAGTGATTCTGCTACGATCAGGTCAAATCTGTTAAGGTGAGAGGTCAAGATTTTGAAATCAGTATTGTTAAAAGGATGATTGTGGAAGTGAGAATGATCTCTATAATTGCTGAGAAGGATGGTTTGCTCAACTGTAGGTCTGTCCTGATTGACTTGCCTTTGTGTTCGAGATTGCGGTGCCGGAGCCATCGTGAGTCTGATCCCACGTACCTAGTCTGACAGCTTGGACAAGTGAACAGGTAAACCACATTCGAACTTAGTTCAGAGTCACACTTTTCTTTTTTCTTGAAGAACAATCCCAATAGTGTTAGCATTGTAAAAAAAAAAAAAAAACGAAAACAGATCTGATAATAATGTCTGATAATTTCATTTAATGATTTTCTGAGATCAAAAATAAGAACGCCCATATATGGAATTTTTATATATTTAATGTCTTTGTTGACTGTGCTCAATACAGGTTTTGGGTAGAATTTCTGATACAGAAAGTTGCGTAGTGCTTTGTAAAATAGGTAAGATGGATACCCAGTTGTAGTGAAATATTCCTTTAAGAATGAAGTTTCTTCATGAAAACTAGCCTGTTTACCATGCAACCTGCCAACCACGCATTACTTGGTTAGTGCCTGTTTCTTGCTTCTCTGCCTTTTTTGTCTGTGTTTAATTGATGATTTTTCGTGTTTTCTGATCTTGTATTATTTTACTATTATCTACTTTAATGTACTGGATTTTATTTTTTCCTGTTATTGTTTATGTTATAGCACTGATGATGGAGATTTTCCGAACGTTTGCAATTGCAAAATGAAGTTCTCAGCCGCGTTGGTATCCTCTTCCTCATAAGAATTCGTTTCCCATGGGATTCGTCTATAACCCCTTATATTTATATATATATATATATATATATATATATATATATATATATATATATATATATATAATGATTATCTGGTGTCGAAATATGAAATATATATATATATATATATATATATATATATATATATATATATATATATATATATATATATATATGTATGTGTATATATATATATATATATATATATATATATATATATATATATATATATATATATATATGTATATATATATATATGTATGTGTATATATATATATATATATATATATATATATATATATATATATATATATGTATATATATGTATATATATGTATATATATATATATATATATATATATGTATATATATATATATATATATATATATATATATATATATATATATATATATATATATATATGTATATATATGTATATATATATATATATATATATATATATATATATATATATATATATATATATATATAAATGTATACACACACATACATATATATATATATACATATACATTAATAAATATGTATATATATATACATAAATATATATATATATATATATATATATATATATATATATATATATATATATATATATATATACGTATGGTGTATATGTGTGCGTGTAAGTGTATTTGTTTGTTTGTGTATGTGCGTATGTGTGTGTGTGTGTGTGTGTGTGTATGTGTCTCTGTGTGTGTGTGTGTATGTGTCTCTGTGTGTGTGTGTGTGTGTGTGTGTGTGTGTGTGTATGTGTCTCTGTGTGTGTGTGTGTGTGTGTGTGTGTGTGTATGTGTCTCTGTGTGTGTGTGTGTATGTGTCTCTGTGTGTGTGTGTGTATGTGTCTCTGTGTGTGTGTGTGTGTGTATGTGTCTCTGTGTGTGTGTGTGTATGTGTCTCTGTGTGTGTGTGTGTATGTGTCTCTGTGTGTGTGTGTGTGTGTGTGTATGTGTCTCTGTGTGTGTGTGTGTATGTGTCTCTGTGTGTGTGTGTGTATGTGTCTCTGTGTGTGTGTGTGTATGTGTCTCTGTGTGTGTGTGTGTGTGTGTATGTGTCTCTGTGTGTGTGTGTGTGTGTGTGTGTGTGTGTGTATGTGTCTCTGTGTGTGTGTGTGTGTGTGTATGTGTCTCTGTGTGTGTGTGTGTATGTGTCTCTGTGTGTGTGTGTGTATGTGTCTCTGTGTGTGTGTGTGTGTGTGTATGTGTCTCTGTGTGTGTGTGTGTATGTGTCTCTGTGTGTGTGTGTGTATGTGTCTCTGTGTGTGTGTGTGTATGTGTCTCTGTGTGTGTGTGTGTATGTGTCTCTGTGTGTGTGTGTGTGTGTATGTGTCTCTGTGTGTGTGTGTGTATGTGTCTCTGTGTGTGTGTGTGTATGTGTCTCTGTGTGTGTGTGTGTGTATGTGTCTCTGTGTGTGTGTGTGTGTATGTGTCTCTGTGTGTGTGTGTGTGTATGTGTCTCTGTGTGTGTGTGTGTATGTGTCTCTGTGTGTGTGTGTGTATGTGTCTCTGTGTGTGTGTGTGTATGTGTCTCTGTGTGTGTGTGTGTATGTGTCTCTGTGTGTGTGTGTGTGTGTGTGTATGTGTCTCTGTGTGTGTGTGTGTGTATGTGTCTCTGTGTGTGTGTGTGTATGTGTCTCTGTGTGTGTGTGTGTGTGTATGTGTCTCTGTGTGTATGTGCGTATGTGTGTCTGTGTGTGTGTGTGTGTGTGTGTGTGTGTGTGTGTGTATGTGTCTCTGTGTGTGTGTGTGTGTGTTTCCGTGCATAGGTCTATGTGTTGGAGAGATACAGAGATTGCGAACATTGCTTTATATATGCATTGCGTGTGCCTCTGTGTCTCTTTGTGAAGTGAACATTCTCCTCTGTTGCCCTTTGCAGCTGGCTCATGCTCATTGTTCCGTGATAAGTTTGAATGTCTTCGATTTTACGGCATTTCCCGTTTTTACGATCACCGCTGCTCAATCAAACGCACGCAAGCACGCACTCACTAACGCACACACATGCACAAGCACACACACGCACGTGTACACACACACACATATGGAGACGGAAAGAGAGAGAGAGGGAGAGAGAAAGAAAGAGAGAGAGAGGGAGAGAGAAAGAAAGAGAGAGAGAGAGAGACAGACAGACAGACAGACAGACAGACAGAGGGAGAGGGAGGAGGGGAGGGAGAGGGAGGGAGAGAGAGAGAGAGGGAGGGAGAGAGAGAGAGAGAGAGAGAGAGAGAGAGAGAGAGAGAGAGAGAGAGAGAGAGAGAGAGAGGGGGGGGGGGGGCACACAACGGACAGAAAGACAGGTCAGTAATCAGGGAGAAAGATTTAGATCCTGACCTCGGGACATGAAACTGTCGTAACACGATTTTACCAAAATAACAATATCACTTTTTCCTTCCAATTCTTGACTGTCTCTTCTTCCCCGTTCGTTTGTTTTAAATCATTATTTTCCTCCTTGGTCACTTTTTACTTCCATTTTTTCCCAATGTCTCTTCTTTCCTCCTTTTTTTTAATCTTTATTTTCCTCCTGTATCACTTTTTGCTTCCATTTTTTCACTGTCTCTGCTTCCCCCCCACCCCCTCTTTTTTTAATCTTCTCTGGCCCTTCTTTTCCTCGTTTTTTCTATCCTTATTTTCCTCCTTTATCACTTTTTACTTCCATTTTTTTCCCACTGCCTCTCCTCCCCCCCCCTTCTTTTTTTTTAAATCTTCCCTGTCCCTTCTTTTCCTCCTCCTCCCTCTCGACACCAATGCCTGTCTTGTTTACTTGGCAAACTCGCGTCTTTGGCGGCCGGCCCACCATGCATAATGCACGTGATTATAAGGGGTATGAAAAGAAAACTGTTGACTGTGGTTTGATGGGTCGTGTACTTGAGATACTGAACGTGATAGAAATAATCTAGTTGTATTTGTGTTGAAAGATGTGGGTTGTTTTTATGTTTACCTGGCATTTTGTGTGTATTTTTTTTCCTATTCTCTCTGTCTGGATCTTTGTCTCTGTTTTCGTTCTTTCTCTCTCTCTCTCTCTTTTCCTCTCTCTCTCTCTCTCTCTCTCTCTCTCTCTCTCTCTCTCTCTCTCTCTCTCTCTCTCTCTCTCTCTCTCTCTCTCTCTCTCTCTCTCTGTAAACGTTTTTTATAGGGTGAACGTTTGTTTCCTTCATGGTGATAAGTTATTCATAGCCTAAATGTGTTACCTCCCTTTGTCTACATAGGAGTTTGTATTTGGTGAAAAAATTACGTAAAAGTTATGTAAAAAAAACAACTAACAAATGACCAATTGCTTTATTTCTCTAGCTAAGGCTAATGTTCGTATGACATAAAACTCGCATTACGGTTGTCTTTTTCTTTATTGGCCGCGTGTTCGCCTGTCGGCCTTGGAGCTTTCTGAAACCTAGCTCTCGTAGCCCTTGCCTGGCGTGTCTGAATCCTCCTTTTGTCGCTGTGCCTGTTCGCCATGCATGTTGCAGGCTATTTTGCAATCTGTTATTCGGATCTTGTGCAGATGAGGCCGCTGGAGAGCTTGCCGTGCCGGTCGAAGTTGCATTGAATGTAGGAAAAAAATGTATTTAGTCTGATTTGTAGTGGAACAAATGTATGTGTGTGTGTGCATGTGTGTGTGTGTGTGTGTGTGTGTGTGTGTGTGTGTGTGTGTGTGTGTGTGTGTGTGTGTGTGTGTGTGTGTGTGTAAGGGACGGTGGGCGGTTGGGCGTGTTTGAGAATGACTTTAGGGGTCCCCATCCATACCATAAGCCCTCATTCGCATGCGCGCACGTCACTAGGACGCGCGTAGTCACTCCGCTGTTAGTGTGGAAGGGCGCTGGCGGATGGGGTGCTGGCCAGTGAATGAACGCGCGATCAATAACAACGTTTGTAAGAGCTCGCGTCTCCTCGTCGAACAGTGCTTAAATGCAGTGTTACATAACGTTTCGGATTCGACCTTGGCTGCTCGTGTGTTGTTTCGGTATGTTGGAGAGGCAGTCAGTGTTACCGCAACTGTGAGGACCTTTGGACGCTTCTGGATTCGACGATGACATACGAGAGCAAAATATGTGGAATTCTTACAAGGTGCAGTGTGCTGTCATAAAGTTAGAACGGAAACGTTTGATACAGTGATCTATAACATATGTGTATACTAGCCTAACATAGTATATTGAAAAGTATTGTGCAAGAAAATGTAGAAGTAGTAAGTACAAGTGTTGCAACACAACTAAAGATGCATTTTCATAACGAAATACTTATACCGTGTAGTTGAGAATGCACAAATTGAAGACACTAATGAGCGGTAGTGAAATCGGCCGTGCGTCAACACATGCAGAGAGAGAGAGAGAGAGAGAGAGAGAGAGAGAGAGAGAGAGAGAGAGAGAGAGAGAGAGAGAGAGAGAGAGAGAGAGAGAGAGAGAGAGAGATCGTGACCTTGACAATTGTATGGCGAGAGAGGAAGGGGACTGTCCGGGGGGAGGGGAGGCTAGAGGAGAGGAAGCTAATCCCCGGGGTGTCGGGGGGGGGGGAGGGAGGAGGGGAGGAGGAGGACCAGGGAGGAAGAGACCTAGAGGGGATGGTTAAGGATAGTTTAGGAGAGCAAGCGGCTGAGTGGTGGAATGTAGGGCTGCGCTTGTTGGTAATTTGAATAACTGAGTCTTACGAAGGAGGAGAAGGATGAGAGATAAACAGAGCGTGTGTGTTAGTTTTAACAAGGGAACTGCAGCGTGCGTGTCGAAAGGGAGCTTGGTAAAATCTGGAAGAGGAATAGGGAATGTATAATGTAAATGATAAAGAGATAGTGGAACTATTAGGGTAGAGTGATAAAAAGAGGAGAAGGGAAGATAAGGGAGAGGAGAGACGGGAGTTGAAAGGAAGGAATAAAATAGAAACAGATAAACAGTATCAAGGAATAAGGATGGGTAAAAAACAAGATGGAATGAGAGATGAGAGACAAGAGGAAGCGAGGAAGCGAGAGGAAGAGAGTGGCTAGAGAAAGACGAAAAAGAAAGGAAGAGAATGGACAGAGAAAGATGAAAACGAGAGGAAGAGAGTGAATAGAGAAAGATGAAAAGAAGAGGAAGAGAGCGGATAGAGAAAGACGAAAAAGAAACGAAGAGTGTGGGCACAGAAAAAAGAGAGAGGGAGAGAACGTGTAAAGAAAGATGAAAAAGAGAGGAAGAGAATGGATAGAGAAATGTGAAAAGGGATAGGAAGAAAAAAAGGAAGATACACGAACAGGTTCTTACCAGTTAACCAAACGAGTCTTGGGTGCTGTGTATATCCAGTTCTCTGGTGTTGGAAGTCAGCAACAAGCAGGCTATTGAGAAACTGTTTATTCAGCGAAAGGCAACACTAGTGAACTATGTCGGACGTGCTGAGCAATGCTTCTTGATTTGTTTGTGTTTGTTGTGATGTATGTGCCTACACGAGGATGACTATGTTCACGTGTGTATTTGAGTGTTTGTTTATCTGATTGCGTGAATGTATGCGTATATGTCGCGTGTGTATGCGAGTGTGTTTGTCTGAGTACGTGAACGTATGCCCATGTTTGCGTGTGTATTTGAGTGTGTTCAGTTGTCTGACTGCATGAACGTATGCCCATGTTTGCGTGTGTATTTGAGTGTGTTCAGTTGTCTGACTGCATGAACGTATGCCCATGTTAGCGTGTGTATTTGAGTGTGTTTGTCTGATTGCGTGGACGTGTTGTGAATGTATATTTCCCTATGTGACCGTGACAGTAAGTGAAATAGTGACAGTGCGAGAGAACCACAATCAACAAGGAAAGTTATGGCGTGGTTGTGTGCCAGAGGAATCGAACGGGTTTTTTCCCTGATGCAAGGAAACAATGGATATGATTTTTTTTTCAGCAGATATAAACGTTGATTAACACAGAAAACAAAAGGACAAAACGAAGGAAGTGTTGTGGAAATTCACGTGTTTGTTACGGTGGATGAGTAAGACAATACCTTCTAATTGATGTCATTCAATGCCACGATCGAGTGTGACATCATCGGGTTTCAAATTAACTCGAGGAGCTGCATATCCTCGAGACAATATGATCATGCTTTAGGCGGTTCGGTGCGTGCTTCGAGTATTTTTTTAAGTGTGCGAAAGACGAGCATGAGATTAGACTTTGTAAATGGGTGATACGAGGTAAGCGAGAAATAAGTGTGTGATCACAATGTATTAAGAAAGAATGCAGGAGGACACGCAAGATCAAAAAAAAGTGAGAGGTCACGTTTTTGTCTTTTGTATGTAAACTAATAGCGGTACTTTATCCGCGACTGTAATCAAGCCATCAGGCGTTATAACCTTAAAGAATAGCGCCTCATGCCGTGACCCCGGCGCTAGTTAACAGCCACGCGACCACCCATCCGTGTCGAGAGCAAGAGGCATCAAACCCCATCATTTCGGCAGTCGCGGAGAGTGGGAAGTGTTGTTATAGTGGTGGCGATGGCAAGATGCGGGCGTGGGGTTGGCACTGGCACCGCTACATTTGGCCCCGTGCGTCTATAGCGTCCAGAGTGCCAGTGGCGGAGTGACTTCCTCGACTCCCACACGCTGACGAAGCTCCTTCTGTGTAGGGGGAGTGGTCGAGGTGCTTCCTCTCGTTTCATTTCACATCGTCGAGTTACCGGACGTTTTCAGTGCTGTTTTTTTTCCCAAGCAACGTATGTGAATGGTAGAAAACTTGTGAGGGATAGTGTGGGTGCTATAAATAGAAATATTCGGTGTGTAAAAGTCCCACGGGGAATTCACTCACGACACTAAGTGTGGTGATTGTTTGCGGAAGCTGAAGCTGGCGGAGTCGCTTGCGATGAGCGGCTGTTCACGTCAGAGCGAGAGAGCGAAGTGTATCTGTTTCCTCTCGATATTTCCGACAGATGAAAGTCTTCTTGGGATTGCCATATCAGAGCGTACCAGTAACAATGTACGTTATCGGAAAAATATTCAAATATAGAAAAGTATTTGAATTATTTCCATCGCACGTGGCAAGTCTTATGGCAGCGAAGGAGCGTGTCACTGACTCGTAGTAGCAGAGGAACCTTTAACGAGGAAACGGGGGAAATCCCACGCGTCGTGTTCTAAACGCTCCGTTACGAACGCTGGCTGTGGGAGCAAGTTATTTCGAGTCCAAACAATTAGATAATTTGTAGCGCCACCCTTTCCGGTGACGTGACCTTGGACAAATGTGACAAATTAGTACTATTATTTGGATTTTTCGTGTTAATTAAAATACATACAATCGGCGTACTGTTATGGCACAAAAGGAAACGAAGTTATATGAAAAACGGATGATAAAATATCACATTTTCTTACGTGATTTTGTCACTTCATGATAGTTTTGGTGTCAGTCCTTTAGTGCTGGCGACTAATTTGAAAGCCGGTATTTTGAAAGTCGTGTTTCCGACTTTCCTGAAGACCGATGAGTGTCGCAAATACCTATGAATTACAGTGCTACTTTAATCAAATCTTCGTGCCGTGGCAAACACCTGTTGATTACCGCGTGAGTCACCTGGTTAGCCTTGACTCTGTATTTATTCCTGGTCAGCGGCTTTGCTATTCATACCGTCGACTCAGAGAGCGTTTTGCACTCAAAGCCAGCTTCATGCGGATAACTCAACTAACTGGAACGTAGCAGATTCCCCCTGAACAAACTAACACGACGATACTTCTAAGTCTGATAGAACAAGTATAGTCTTGCAAAATATGCACTGTTACTAGTTCAAATTATTTCTTCGTACTCAAAAAGTCAGGAATATTTGGAGCAATCTAGCCCCAGATACAGTATACCTTTTCCTCATTTCCGCTGACCATAAGTACGGTGTGTAAACTAATGTACACCTGTGGTTTCTTCTTGTGGTGTCTGGTGTGGAGTGGAGGTGAGGTCCGCGCGTGATAAGCATGTTTGGTGAAGTAATCTATCTTCTGATGTAAATTCAAGGTTCTGTTTTGTTTATAACTAGGCTGGCTTAGAATACGCTTAAAGGAGATACAGATAGAGATAAATTATGAACGAGAGTGAAACGATAAAAGAGAGAGTGACGAGCGAGGCCTCTCGAGTAAAGACAAGTGGCAGTGACGTGGGTGTGATGTCAGGAGAAGGTACAGCGCCTCACCACGAGAAGGACAACTCAGCGGCGCATCTACACGACCAGATTCTCCCGACTGACCACAATGCAAAGGCCGGACAGACCAACCAGCAAGGACGGGGAGGTCAGCCTGCGAGTGAGGACAGAACAGGTCAAACCGCGACGATAGATAATGGCGTCAGACCTCCTGGGTCACCGGACTCCGCCAAGGTACCCACGGGTATCGGCAGCGTGGAGAACGAGGCACTGGTGGCCATGAACATTAGGCCTCGGTACTCGAAATTCTTGGAGACGACCGGGAAGA